AAAGTGGCAGGCCTCTCGAAATCTCTTCTAGCCTTTCGTCGTAATTTCTATTCATGGTAAAGCCGGCCGGACACCTGTGCAATGCAACCAAGCAGAAATCGTCATCTTGCAATAACACTGGAAAAATAAAAAGAATAGTATGGTACGAATTCATGGTCTGAGTGCGAGTGTTGACCAGCAGGCGATGCAACATCGGTCAAAGCAGCTGGAAAAGTTGCCAGCTACGTGGCTGGGGAACTAAGTTGTGAACTGCAGCGGATCGAAATGAGGAGCACCGGGAGCCCTAAGGTCCTAAAATAAATGTTTCGAAGCAGTAGCACTGACAAAAACTTTACGCAGCATTTAATTTTCAATTGTTCACTGAGTTAACGCAAAATTGCAATTGTTAAGGATGGTTTGGAAATATTAAAGTTTTTGACGTAAGCTTATGTGAGTTGGCCGAGACTAAGATGTCAGTCAATTCCGTCGAATTAATCTGAAGTATTGCAAAACATTCTTTTCCCGATCATGAATCCTAACTTTTTGACGACAAAGTATTTTGAAATATTTTGAAATAAACATCTTTATAAAAATAAAAGCACTACTCACGTGCAACGCCTGGTGGTCCTGGCGGCCCACGTTCGCCCTGTGGTCCTTTTGGCCCTGGCCTGCCTTCCGGTCCAGGCGGTCCACGTGCTCCTTTATTGCATTCGCAGTCTCTTTGGCCTGTAAATATACAAGAGACAATGAATGGAGCTGTTGTCTTCAAACTGGTGTATTACGTAATTTTTATCATCTTACATGATATAAAGAAAAGACGAACACTAACTTAGGGTCTGGCATAGTTCCGCCCGGGGTTTGAGGACATCTCACTAATACTACTAACACGAGACATGCTCCGATTTTGCAAGAATTTTGGTCCTGCTTTAGTACGCGTGATATAATTTGTTAATGTTTTATTCGGGTACACAAATGCTTGAAAATATGAGGGAGAGTAGGAATTACCGAACAATTCTAAGCAATAGAAAAGCGAGTGTAACCTTGTGAATGCGGCAGAGTACTGCTGCCACCACGATGCCTCAACGCATCCCACATGCTTCGCTCTTCCAGCAGTTTATCCATACGCTGCAGATGCAACACATGTTAAGCATATTCTACTTCCAGTGGTGATATCAGTTCCTATGCTGTCATTAGCCTATCCACTGTCAAATGCGGATTAATTTAATGATTACTCTCTGGAGATTGTTGATCATAGCACTTTGAATATGCAATTGCCTTCTGATCGGATCATCACTGTCTGCAAATTCTTCCCAGTCTGCACCGATCAATTGCAGAATCGCACACAGCAAAACTGATGATGTGCTTTGCATCTCTGTAGTAATTCTTGGATGAAGCTTTCCTGCAAATTCGCCAAACACCAGCACTCTCAGGCAAAAATCACACTAATGCAGCGTAGTTGAATAGTAGGTAAAATATATACGTTTTAAATCCGCTCACATATGCTTGATACTTGAAACGGTTATTAGTTCACCACTGTTCCAACAATAGTATAGCCAACGACCACGTCATTTTCTTTCTTCATTTCGTAGTTGTTTGGATCAAACCAGCATCACCTAGCGGAAAGCCTTCTGGTAATCTTGACGTTTTTTTCTAAAGCGACTGCCGACCCAGTGGCTCTTTAGTAAGGCCTCAGTCATTTGAAGAATTAACGATATGGGTTGTGCATCACCACCTCATCGCTTATTATGCGTTTTTTGCAGCTATGCAATGCAAAAACGCATGTTGTCGAGGGGTTGTCTATGTGTGTGTGTGTGTGTGTGT